ATATCTGATATAAATAACGTCTTTGCTATAGGAAAAAACATCAATAGGCCTATCATCGTTAAGTTTATCTCATTTTTCAAAAAACAAGAAGTCCTTAGAAATTGTAAAAAACTTAAAGGAACGTCTGTCTATATAAGTGAGGAGTTATCTCCTGAAGAAAGATGTGAAATAAAATTCCTGAGAACACACTTAAAAGAAGCTAGAGCGAAGAATTTAGACGCCTACATCAAAAATCATAATCTCTATGTAAATGGAAAGAAGTATACACCTCAACAGCTGAAACAAGAACAACTACAAAACATACGAGAAGGAACATCAGATAGTGAAATAGTGAATAGTGGAAAACCAATAGAAGACACAAACAAAACAGAAGAAAGTGATATTGAAGATCAGATAAACTCAGAACTAGAAGAGGTATTCGAATCCGGAAAACTCGATGATGAGCTAAATAGAAAAAAAAATGTAACTGACAATTGTGAAACAAATGTTAAACGATCCGCAAGAATAAATAGTCTAAGCAAAACTCAAGGAAACCAGAAACCAAGAACAGTAAAATTACGTTGAAATCAGGTCTCAAAAGTGTAACCAAACAAAAATTAAAATTCTATTTAAAAAAAAAATAATTGTACCTACTTAATAATAAATTAAAGTTTATCGAACATTTTTGGTGCCAACCTGTACTTCAATACTCGTGTGTCTCTGTGAAAGAATATGGATTTTATTTGATTAAATTTAATATGTGTCTAAAATAATATTTTGCTAATTCTTTTATTGTAGTTAAATGCTCAACTCGAAACTTATTCTTAATCCTGATAGAGTTGAATTTATTGTAGTTTGTAAGTAGATGTAAGCTTTGAATTCGTCTAAAAATTACTTATTATTTAGATACTAATGTAGTAATGTAATTACATAGCTATTGAATTGATATATATTCTGAATGAAAATTAAATGAATCGATATATTAGAGATTTTGATGTACCAGTAATTGAAACATTCAGTCTTAAAAATAACTCTGAAGGTAAAACAATTTTAAAGGTCAATGATAATAATGTAAATTTTACTATTATTAATAATAACATTCGCAATGTGGGAAAAACTTGGACGAATTTAAGTTATTTTTAAAATATTTAGATTGTAATGTAGAATGCATTATACTTAGTGAAACTTGGCAACTCTTAGATTCCAATATATTTAATATTCCGGGTTACACTCATGTCTATAGCGGAGGTAAATACAATCAAAATGATGGGGTTCTAGCATATATAAAAGAGAAATACGACTATACATATAATATTATTACCATAAATAACTATAGTTTTATACTAATTAGAATTAAAGTGGGACATAAATATATTGCTATTACAGCATGCTACAGACCATCTGGATCTGATACCGGCGAATTCATATTGTCTCTTCAAGAATATTTTGATGCACTAAAGAGTAAAAATGAAATTTACCACATATTCTGTGGAGACATTAATATTAATTTACTGGTTGATACCCAGATGGTACTTGATTATCTTAATGTACTACATGAACACGGCTTTACTTCGACAATCAACTCTCCCACGAGAGTCCAAAATAATAGCAAGTCGTGTTTGGACCACATCTTTATTAAAACTTTGCATGAAACAGACAATATAATACCAATGGTATTAGAAAATGATATAACCGATCATTTCACTACAATTTTACAAATAATTAATGTAAACTGTGAACATAGCCGCCACCAAAAAAGTAAAAAACATAAACTACAAACAGTTGCAATATAAGGCAAAACTAGCACTTTGGGATGATGTTTATACTGAGGATCCAGAACTTGCAATAAATAAATTCATTACCATTATCTCGAATGTTATAGAAGAAAGTACAGTAATCAGAAAATCAAATAGGAAAACCACCAAAATTGCACCATGGACTACAAATTCGATACTGAAATTAATAAATGAAAAAATAAAATATTTAAACAACTACAGAGAACGCCAAATAATACTGAATTAAAAAACTTACATAAAACTTATAGAAATAAATTAACAAATACAATTCAAAACGCCAAATATAATTTTTACAAACAACTAATTAATTCAAACCAAGGCAAATCTAGCGAATTGTGGCGTATAGTACAAAACCTGAGCGGTCAAAAAAAAAATACAAAAAAAATTGAAGCTATCAAAAATGAAAAAGGAGACACTTTATCTAACGATAAAGCTATCAGCAATGAGTTCAATCAGCAATTTGTTAAAGATTAAAAAAGATAGTTTGATTTCATTCCCTAAAATTACGCTTCAAAACTCGATGGTTTTTCTTGAAACAAATGTGTCTGAAGTTACAACATTAATAAACGATTTAAAAGAAAAAAAAGCACCTGGAATTGATGAAATATGTGCGGAAGTGTTAAAATCAACGGCATCATCAATTGCAAATCCATTAACATATATTCTAAATCAATGCATAAAAAAATCTATATTCCCCTCTGCGTTCAAACTTTCAATAGTGACACCGATTTTTAAAAAAGGTGATAAAAAATTTTCAGTAATTACCGACCAATCTTATTACTTACGCATCTATCAAAAATTTTTGAAAAATTAATAAAAAATAGACTTAACAATTTCTTAAACAAGTTTAATATAATATCTTCCAAACAGTATGGTTTTAAAGTAAGAACTACTGAGGATGCTATACTAACATTAGTTTCTCAAATACACAATGTTCTAGAAAAAAACAGACAAAGTTTCTGTATATTTCTTGACCTTAGTAAAGCTTTCGATACAGTCGATCATTGTTTATTACTAGAGTGTTTGGAAAACATAGGTATTAGAGGAATCTCCCTGACCCTACTTAAAAGTTACCTAACTAATAGATATCAGAGTGTTAGAATAAATGGTGAGACTAGCGAACCTGAGCTAATTAAGTATGGAGTGCCTCAAGGGAGTGTCTTAGGTCCAGCCCTCTTTAATATATATATAAATAATCTGTTTTCAATTGATAGTCGAGGTAGAATTTTGGGATTTGCAGACGATACTGCAATTTTTTATGAGGCAAATAATGTGGCCAATACGGATTTTTTTAGAAATTGAAATTGAACAGAAAACCATAGATAGAGTTGAAGATATACCAGATAATTTGAATTCTTTCTACATTGAGAGTATTGATAAAATTATGGATACAATTGATAAAAATGGTCCAGACTTCTCCATTAATATTAATCGGGAAAATATCAGTAACTTTTCCAAATTTACTTTAATTGATTTTAGTACGCTTAAAAAAATTATTTTCTCAATGCCCAATAAGAACAGTCCAGATGGTATAGGCATGGCATTTATAAAAAATACCTATGACAATATTGCTAAACCCTTGATAAATGTTATCAATACTTCTTTAGAATCTGGTAAAGTCCCAGATGATATCAAGGTCTCCACCATTGTACCAGTTCCTAAAGTTGCAAAATCTAATAAAGCTTCTGATTTCAGACCAATAAATATGCTTAGCTGCTTTGAAAACATTTTAGAAAAAGTAGTCTATGAACAAATTGTTGATTTCATAGAAAGAAACAAATTTTAACCAAATTTCAATCGGGTTTTCGCAGTAAGCATTCATGCGAAACTGCGGTACAATGTGTGCTGGATGATTTGAAAGGAAATCTTAATCAAAAACATGTTACTGTTGGTATTTTTTTGGATCTCCAAAGGGCGTTTGAAACGGTAGATAGGAATAGACTCTTAAAGAAATTAGAAAGAGCAGGGTTTAGTGGTACAGTATTGGAGTGGATTTCAAACTATTTAACAAATAGAAGGCAAAAGGTCAAAATTAAAAACTTTGTATCTGAGGAGTTAGAAATAAAACGAGGTGTACCACAAGGAAGTGTCCTAGGTCCCTTGTTTTTTTTTTATTTATATCAATGACATTGCAGACATTCAGACTAAATGTTTATTTCACTTATTTGCAGATGACGCGTTCATTTCAATCTCAATTAAAGACATGTTCCTTTACCAGACATTAATTTTTATATATAAAATAAAAATAGGTTACAGGCCTGACTATCTCCAGCATAAAATTACTTATAACCATCATGTTCACACCCATAATACAAGACTTAGAAATGATTTTTATATTAGGACCGTCAACACCAGTCATGCTCAAAATTCAATCTTTTTTAAAGGCTTACAGCAATTTAATGACTTACCAGAAGATTTAAAGAAAATAGAATCAATTAATGAATTCAAATGTAAAATAAAACAATATTTGTTAGATGTAAGTAGCTAATTTAGTTATTGAAGTATTCATTATTAATATTAGTATTTTATATGTGTTGTTTAATTGTATTTTATTTTATACGACTACAGTTATATTAATAACCTATTATATTTATACATTTATTGTTAGTGAGAAAGTGTATTATTGACTATGTATTAGTTGTTTTTTGACTAAATAAAGCATATATATACGGTAGTAGAAAAAATTATTTTTCAGTATTCTTTATACTTACAGAAAAAACCCATAGAGCTGGAATTATATGTTTTAGTTCAAGTGTGAACCCACCTATTGTTCATTTTTTTAAGTGCTCGTTTATACAAATGTACAGTTGTGACATGACGATTGCCAAAAATGATACCAACATTAAGAATAGGTACTTATTGTATGTTGGACTTGTTGAAAATGTTTTATTAATCGAGCATTGAAATTTGATTTTTAATTAAAATAAATATTTTTTTCTTCAAAAATTAAAACCTCCCGCTTTTCATTTCTGATAATCTGACAGCCCTACTTAACTAACAAGGAATAGAACTATGAAAAATAAAAATTCACTTTTTTTTTTAAGTAGGCCATGACCAACAATGACAGACATACATGTCATGTCCTTGATACCTATGCACAGCTCTGAAATAAATCGAAACTGATGCTTAAGAAGAATTGTATGCTGTGAGGTACCTATATGATTTAAAACTTTTTTTGTGGGTTACTCCATATTTGTAGCATGAGTCACATACACTAATACTTACTTCTTTACCAAAATATAATAATCTTTGTTGTGATTCTGGGATTTCCAGTCGTTTGGCAATCTCGTTTTTCAATTCGCTAACCAGAGCCTTTTTAGAAATTTCAATAACAGCTCCTGGAGTTCCATCTAGAGGTTTAATATTGATTCTCATTTTGTATAGCTATTTTGTACTCTTTCACCCTTTGTCTTTTGTAACTACTGAAAAAAAAAACAAAAATAAAAAAATGAGTAACTTATATGTGTTTTCAGTCAGTTTCTACCAGCTTGTCTCCGTTGAATTGGAGAAATAATTATTTATTTATTTACGGGAAACCCCCATTTTACAATAAAAAATATAAAAATATATGTTATATGCACAAATACAAAATAAAAAACAACATCAAAAATTATATCATGTAAAACATTTGATTAAAACATTAAAACATATGATTAAAACATTTGATAAACAAGGCAGACAATAACAGTACTTTCAAGTGTCATTAAGAAAGTGGTTAGCAATACTTCTTTTAAATGAAGGATATGACGAACCAAAAAAATCCAAGTCTATTTCTATACTGTTAGCACTCCTAGCCAATCGTGTTGATGAATTATAAAAGCCGTAATTTTGTCTATGGTGTCTAATAAAAAAAATGTCATTAGCTCTGGTTGCACTATTAATTTTAAAACCAATTTTTAATAAAATATCAGGAGAATATATTGACCCAGACAAAAGTTTGAATAGGAAGCATAGATCTAATTGAGTTCTCCAATTCTACAAAGTTGTGATTTCTAATCTGGAATATAGGTTAGCATAATCATAATTATTTATACGCACTCCTAATTTATATGCTGAGCATCTCAGAAACTTATGTTGAACCGTTTCAAGTCTATTAATGTGAATGCAATAATAAGGGTTCCAGACAACAGCTGCATATTCCATATTAGAACGAACAAGAGTGCAGTAAAGAATTTTAAAAGAATTTATTGAGAGACCATTAGAGATTCTTTGTATATAACCCAACAACTTTCTGGCTTTTAATGATATCATTGTAATGTGTTCTGAAAAAGTAAGTTTTTCATCAAACATTACGCCAAGGTCCTTTATTTTGGTCACCAATTCAAGATCTAATGAATTGATACAATAAGTATAGTCTATATTAGTATGGCACCTATTAAACTTAATATAAAAACATTTATTTAAATTCAAATTCATACAATTTACATTACACCACAATGCTAGGTTGTTAATATCAGTCTGTTAATCAAAACAATCGGATATACTTTCAACAATTTTAAAGATTTTTAAATCATCTGCAAATAGTAGGAACTGAGACTTTTTTATACAACATGCAATGTCATTTACAAATAGATTAAAAAGAAGCGGACCACAATGGGATCCTTGAGGAACACCAGACAATACTTCAATCAAATAAGAAATGTGATTCCCAATTTTGACCCACTGATACCTACCAATTAAAAAACTAGATAGCCAATTTAAAAGTTTACCATTGATACCATATGAGCTCAACTTGGCGATCAACAATTCATGGTTAACTCTATCGAATGCTTTTGAGAAGTCAGTATAGACAGAATGTACTGATATCCCCCTTCAAAAGCACTCAATATTTCATTTTGATAACTTAACAAGGCAGTTACTGTAGATTTTCCTTGTGAAAAACAATGTTGTTGATCAATTATTAGCCCTTTACATTCCCATGACAAATATTCTGTAATGAGTGAATCGAAAATTTTTGGAATGTTTGATTGCAAACATATTCCTCTGTAATTTTTAATGTCACGATTACATCCCGATTTATAAATTGGTCTTATAAAACTGTATTTCCAAAAATTCGGAAATACTCCTGAATCAAGTGAAATATTGTAAATAATAGAAATAGGAGTACTAACAGTACAGACACACCTCTTTAAAAACTAAGATGGAACTCCATCTGGACCACAAGAGAAACTGTCTTTTAATTGAGAAATTTTAGAAAAAACTTCACTCAAGGTCACTTTTACATTATTTACATTAATGGTTTTCTTATAGTTTAATACAGGTACATTACAATCAGTCTTGACATAAACTGTAGATAAATTATCAGCAAATAAATTTACAGTATCACAGCCATTATTACTAATTTTATTATTTAGATACATTTCATTCGGAAATTCACCCCTTGATTTATCTTTAGCAAAGCGCCAAAATGATTTAGGGTCTGTCGATATATTGTTCTCAACCCTTGCAATATATTGTTGGTAAAATTCATCAGTTAGTGTTTTGCATGTTATTCTTAAGTTGGAGAATAATAAATAATCATTATTATTTCTGGTTTGCATATATAATTTATGTGCTTTCTTCTTCTCAAATATGTAGCTCTTTAGTTCAGATCTATACCAAGTTGAAAATTTTGTATTGCATATAATCTTTGTGGGTATAAAAGAGTGCATTGAATAGTACAATACATCATATAGTTGTTGTTGTACTGCAACATTGACATCCGTATTGGTTAAATAAGTAGCCCAATCTATTGTAGATAGATAATAATTAATAGCATCATAGTTACCCTGTGAAAAATCAAAAACTTTATCTTCAACATCCAATGCTTTAGTAGGGGGTTCAGTAGGAATGCTAAAAGTACATGCTGTGTGGTGTATACTATTATGGTGCAGTAGATCAACTGCTGAAGAAATTAGTACATCTTTTAATTTGGAAAAAATTAAGTCCAGGAGAATGCCTCGGCTATTTAAAATATTATTTAGTTAAAACAAATTTAAGAAACTAAATGTTTCACATAAATCATAAGCAGGTGAGTTAATTGGACACTGAACAGTCACTCCTAAGTTGCCATTTGACCATGAAGCTTCGGGCAGATTGTAGTCTCCGACAATTATAAAAGAGTGATTTACATAACGTTCCATCAACTTCCATTGCATGAATCATATATTTATCTGCTGTTGAATTCGGAGGAAGGTAAACACTACCAACAACAAACTTACAAGTACCGGCAACTAACTCAGCATAACATTGTTCAACTTGAGGATTTCTATTAATTAATTTTGGCTTATAGTTATTACTTGCTTATAAACACTAATTCTTCTAATTAAAACGAGCCCTAAGGAAGGGGATTACTTAATATGGTAATAAATCAAAAGGGAGTACTTAATATTGTAATACCTAGTAATTTCTTATTTTACAGATCGTGTTTGTCGTGTCAAAATTAAAAATGCCATTTCTAGTGAATATGCAACGATATCAGGGGTCCCTCAGGGATCACATTTGGGCCCATTGTTATTTAGCATTTACATTAATGATGTGGTGAAACAATTAAATGATACTGAAGTTTTAATGTATGCTGATATCAAATTGTATAATATCATTAAAGATCCCTCTGATTGTCTCATACTGCAGAAAAATTTAAACAGTTTGCAGGGATTATTAATTAATCCCTTAAAATGTAAGGTAGTGTCTTTTTATAAGAGGCTTAATATAAATCTAATTAATCATACTAATGAGTTGCATGGAAATCGTATTAATAAAGTTGACAGTATAAAAGATCTTGGGATTATATTTCAATATAATCTGTCTATTTCTCAGCATGTCGATTATGTTGCTGGGAAAGCCTTAAAACAGTTAGGATTCGTGAGAAGGCACTCGGCAGACTTTGTAAATTTGCATACAATTTAAATCTTATTTTATTCCCTCATGTCATATTTGGAATATTGTTCTGTTATTTGATCACCATATGCGCAAATTCATATTGAAAAGCTTTAAAGAGTACAGTGTAGATTTTTAATGTATTGTTCTTTTAAATTGTCACTACCATACTCTTATACAAATATGCTTGTCACAACAAATAATGAAACGTTAGCTTCCCAAAGAGAATTTATTGATTTTCTATTTATCTTTAAACTTGTAAATAACCTTGTTGATTTTTATATCCCACCTAGGCCGTTGCTCCACATTTGCTTTGAAAGCTCATAGCACTAACTATGGCTCAGGAATTGGTATGGCCAAACTTCTGAGAAATGCTAATATATTTGCAGCAAAACAGAATATTGATATTTTTAACTCTTCCATGTATCAAGTGAAAAGAGTGGCGAAGTAAAAAAAATGTGTTAGGTCTACATAATATTTTAATATTTATGTATATTTTTTATACTATAAACTTATGTATTTTGTAAATGGTTTAAACTGTATGATAAATAAATAGGGTACTTGAAGTAACCACTGATTCTACTAATGAAAGAGGGTTTAAAAAAGAACAGCCCGTTCAACTGATTGTGGATTTTTCCAAAAATTTAATCGATTATTATCCAGAGCTCCTAGAACAACTTAATTTATATGTATCATGGACTAAATAAGAGAAATGAGAAGACATTTTATCCCTATAACAAGCATTATGATGATCTCTACCTTAAATAAAATGTAGATTAAGGATTGACCGGGATTGGTCCATTCTTATGTTTATTAAATCAATTTAATAAAATTAAAATATCTATACAATAACATAAATTAGCTTATTTCTTTATCTTTCTTTCATTTTTGTTTAGAACTTTCTTTATTTTTATACCTGTTTATACCTTATATTTAAGTTGTCCTGTAAATGGGTGTACTCCTCTTTGGACAATAAAGGATTTTTTTAATGTTTAATGGAATGTTTAATTCAAAATACAAACCGTTAAAAAGATCGACGGCACAGACAGTACATATATTACTTGGTCACTTTTGTCTTTTGTTACAATGAACAATATTAGATAATAAGAACAGTTTGATTTAAACCAAAAACCGTTAAAAACTTTAGAAATAACAAACGACTTTCACCAGATATAAAAACACGTAAACTGCCAACAAAATAAACGGTGGTAAATGATTTTTTTGCGTCTTGCTTGCCCTTTAGTAGACGTCTTCTTCTTCTTCTTTTTTCTTTATGGGCTTAGAAACTTGGCGGGAAAAATCCAACTTTTTCTTCTTTTTGTATTCCAACGTCCTGTCAAAATGCTGCCCGTGGGCGTTGATATGTCAACCTGTCATAATTATATAGATTTATCAAAGTGGGTCGCTTTACGAGCGGCCATATTGCCTCGCAAGTGCTCATTAATCAGAATCGGTTTAGTAAAAATGTGTTTTAAAACCATTTTCAGTCTTTTAATACAGTAAAAAATACATTTTTACTTCAAGGAATAAGCTTATGTTCATTTTTTGAAAAAAATACATGATCAATCTACATACATCTGCCGCGTTTGAGAATCCACATCGGATGTATCTGAGATGTGAATTTTTTATCACGTGATAGGGAATTAGATTAGGGGGTCTATTTTCAAACTCGAGAGATTGGCCGTGTTCATCGTCGTCAAACATGTTGTAACGCTGAGTAAGCGGCGACGATGAACTGTCAACCGCTGCAGCGCTTTTGAAGAAGCATAAAAGCGAAAATAAACTGCTTGTTTGCTTTAAAAGCATAAAATTGACCTTGAACCCCTGTCAAATCCGTCTTTTGGCATTTTGTTAGGTTATGTGTTTGTTCTTCTTCTTCTTTTCTTTTTTTGGGCTATGTTACTGCGAACAATTTACCCAGATATAGTTGATTTGCTTCTACTAGATAATGATTTTAAAGAAATTTAGAAAGGGTGGTTATTCTTCTATCATCCAAATGAGACAAGATGTATCGAATATCAAATGGGGCTGATAAACCAGCCTTCGTTAGTTCCAAATATACATCAAAAAGGGGAGATTTATTAATGGGACACTCTAAGATGATGTGATTTAACGATCCAACTTCTCCACACTCGCAAAATGGGTCATCTTTAATACCAATTCGAAATAAGTGATATGGGGTTAGACAATGGCCAGTTCTCATCCGTATGATTGTGGAAAGGTACCTTCTTTCATAGAATTGTTTACTATTGAACCACGGAGTTTTGGGTATTTTAGGAACCACTTGGAAGTAAAAAGATGTTTTGTTTTCTTTTAGTGAATTCCACTGTTGATGCCATTTGTTCCAAATTTCTTGTTTAATGAAGGGTAAAAAGTTAGACTTATTGAGTTTAATATTTAAAGGAATTTTAAGGATTCTGCCTATATTTGCTAATTGATCAGCTTTATGGTTGCCAATAATGCCGGAGTGACCTGGAATCCATGCCAAAGTGATGTGGATGTTATTCATATTAGCAAGTAAGATACCTTGTTTTGTTAGAAAGGAGCAATGATCAGTTTCTGTAGAGAATTTCATATTTCCAATTTTTTGTAAAGCAGATTTGGAGTCCGAGAAGATAACTGAGTTCAATATATTTTTTTCTAAAATGATTTGCAAGGCATGGTTAATTGCAATAATTTCTGCAGTACATATTTGTGTATGTTGAGGTAGTCTGCTTGAAAACACGTAATTGAGGTCTGGAGAAAATACACCGAAGCCTGAATCATTAGAAGGTCCCACAGATCCGTCGGTGAAGAATTTTGTGTAACCGGGTAGCTCGTTTATTGTGTCAGTAAAAATGGATAATCCATAAGTGTCATCCCTAATTGATCTAAGATTTAAAACTGGAATTGAAGAGAGTTGGATGTCCAATTCAAATTCATGGCATGGCAGCAATTCATTAGAATACATATTCGGAAGGAACTCATCCATTTGGTTCATTAAACTTAATAATACTGGAGTGTCAATTACCTTTTTGTAAACATTTCTTTCTTTATTTAGTGTTTCCAAATGTTTTAACGAATTGATGACAGGGTTATTTTCCAATGCAAGATTTTTTAAAAGAAATTTATAACAAAGCCAGTCTCTTCTTAAGTTTAAGGGGATATCCCCGCTCTCTGCTTGCAAAGCATAAATTGGGGTTGATTTCATACAACCAGTGATGACACGTAAGCTCTGATATTGTAGCCTGTCCAACTTCTTCTGAAGATACTTCGGACATGGAGAAATTACCTGGCATCCATAATCTATATGACTTAAGATGATAGCGTTGTGTATTATGCGAAGGATTTTTGGATCACTGCCCCACCACGTACCACAAAGAGCTCGCATGACATTTAAACCTCTGTTAATTTTTTGCTCAATGTAATTTATATGTACATTCCATTTTAAGTGTTTATGAATGTAAATGCCTAAATATTTGAATGAATCTGACCAGTGAATGATTGTATCATTAAATTTAATTTTTGGAAGGATTAATTTAATAGGACCTTTTGAAAAAAGGAGAGCCGATGATTTAGTTATAGACAAGTTGAAGTTGTGCTCATCGAGCCAGTCTTTAAAAGCAACCAATAAAGAGTTTATTTCTATAGTAATATTGAAGACATTCTCTCCACTAACCAAAATTACAATGTCATCCGCGTATTGTATTAATTTAAAGGTTTTTGGTATAATATTGAATAAAGATAACATATAGAGATTAAATAAAATCGGGCTAAGGGGAGATCCCTGAGGAAGTCCTTGATTGGAGGTTCGTGGTCCATGACTTTGACCACAGTTATCTGAGACTGAAATGGATCTGTTATTTAGAAATGCATAGATAAGGTTGCATAGCTCTATTGAAATGCCAATATTGGCTAATTTGGAGTATAGAAGATATATATTTACACTATCATAAGCTGCCGAAATATCAAGGAATAGACCAACAGTATAATTATTTGATGCCAAGCCTATTTGGACTTGGGTGATTAAGTAAGATATTGATTCTGTGCAGCCTTTTCCTCGTCTAAATCCTAGTTGTAAGGGATGGAAGATTTTCTTGTTTTCCAAATACCATTCTACTCTATTTTTGATAAGTGATTCTAGAAGTTTTCCAACGCAGGATGTTAAAGCTATAGGTCTATAATTATTTGGACATGATTTATCTTTCCCAGATTTTACAAATGGCAAGATTAAAGATTGTTTCCATTGTTGGGGAATAGATCCACTTTTGAGACAGTTATTGTAGAATTGTAACAGCCAAACGGCACCCAAGTTAGGTAAGTTTTTTACCATTGAGTAGGAAATATTATCTAAGCCAGGAGAAGAATCTTTTTTAATTGATAATGTATACTTAAATTCATTATATGTAAAGGCAGGTTCTTTGTCATTAGGAATTTTGATAGCAACAGCAGGGGAAGCAGAATTCGGTGTTATGATTTTTAGTATATCATTAGCTAGTAGCGAAGATGGCATAAGACTGGAAGTATTAGTTTTCTGACCTGCAACTGAATTTACTTTATTCCATATCGTTTTTAAGGATGAATCGCGATTTAGTGTTCCGCAAAACTCCCTGAAGCTATTTTTCCTTTTTGTTTTCAAAAGTTTTCTAGACCATGCAACAAGTTTTTTGACCGTGATATAGTTTTCTACAGTTGGGATGTCTTTAAAATTTTTAATGGCCGTTACTCTTTTTTTAATTATGTCATCACATGAATTATCCCACCATGGTATCTGGTATTTGTTTTTACTATTGCCTTTGAAATTTGGAATTGTGGTGTCAGCCACTGAATTAAGAGATTCAATAAAATCTTCATAACTATCACTACTAAATGAAGAAAAGATTACATCAAGGTTGCAATGATAAGAGGACCAATCAGCTTTATGGAAATTTCTCTTTTTAGTGGGCAATGGAATGGTACATGGACCCATACCAATTTTACACATTGTGGGGAAGTGATCACTTGATCCATGATCAGAAATAACCTCCCAGGTGCATTTAGATGCTATTTCAGAAGATATAAGGGATACATCAACTACAGAATTACTTCCTCCAGGAGGAGAAGTACGAGTAGGAGAGCCGTCATTGAGGAATATTAAATCAAGATCATCTAAAGCTTCGAAAATATTTTTACCATTGAAGCTGTTAGAGCTACTCCCCCATACAGTATGGTTGCAATTAAGATCACCCATTATTAATAAGGGTTTATTTATTTTTTGGATAAATTTTATAAAATTCCTTTTAGTAATTAGGTTATCTGCAGGACAATATATATTAATCAAATTTAGATTATAATGAGGTAAGAATAAGAGTTGGGTTTGGATATTTTGATCAAAGCAATTATTAATAGTTGTCTGGAAGAAGTCTATACTGTTTCTGATTAGTATAGCAATTCCCCCATATCCATCAAATCTATCATCTCTAAGTATTTGATAACCTCTACATTTTAAGGTATATTTATCAGTGAGCCATGTTTCGTTAAGTAATATAATATCAGGATTGTGTTCCATAATTAGAACTTTAAGATTGTCAACATTCACATTGTATGATCTAATATTCCATTGAATAATGGTTAATGGAGTAATGATAACCAGACAAAATATAAATGTTTGGTTGGATTAGAGATCCTCCTGATCGGAGTAATCCATTCCACCAACATTATCATGTGATACAGGGTTATTACTAATTTGGGAAAAAGGTTCTTGGGAACCTAAAATATTTGTTGTTGAAACATTACTATTACTAGCAGAAGAGTACGTATTATTAATTATGTTACCAATAAATGTCATAACGAGCTCCCTGTGGGATTGAGATAAGACAGATATAGCCTGAACAATATCAGATTCAAGTTTTTTCCCCAAATCTCTTCTATTGACGTTGGATGTAGAAGGCTTTGGTTCTGGAATTCTACCATTAGGATTTATGAGGCAGTCGTCAAGTGCTTTTTTATTGAAACTTCTTTCTTCAGGTCTTCTACGTTTAATAGTCGATGATCGAGTTATTTGACTGTAGGTATTATGTCTCTGTGAAGTATTAATGAGAGCTGTTCTTCTTTCGTGAATGTTAATAGAATTGGTATTTAGAGAATCGTTATTTAAAGTAGGGAAGTCATTTATATTATGCACGTACATAGTATTAGTTTTTCTTGGAGTCATCTGACTTGCTTCATAATATGAGATATTTGAAAATGACATTAATTCTTTGATGTCTTTTTGTCTGCTGTATTCAGGACATTTTTTGTCATTAGAAGAGTGTTCATTATTTTTACAATGGATACAAAACTTATTACAAGTTTCTGTACCGATTTCGTGGATTTTTCCGCAAATTTTGCATTTTGCATTGCTGC